ACTGGAGGTCATTTTTATTAATGTGCTTGCCCGTATCAGTCTGTTCCAGTCATCCCTGATCACATACTAGAAGGAGGAGTGCAGGGGAAATATTCAGCAGAGAATTTCAAGGAGAGAAATTTACTCTGAGCCTTGCTCTCAGGAACCTATTCAGGTTGGACTTGAATCAAGGAGAAAACCTTTCTACCCATGGCCTCAAAACTTCTCGGGGGGGGGGGGGGAACCCTATATTGTGTGTTCCCCTGGTCTTGTTTGTAGTCAGGGTCTGATACCTCACCTTCCTCAGGGCAGGTCTACACTATCGGTTAAATTGATTTAACTCATGTCACTCGGGGGGAAGGGTTTCATACTCCTATTGCCCGAGTGATGCAAGTTTCACACTGTCCATACCTGTGCTATGTTGGCAGGAGACAGAGCACTCTCCTGTCAGCTTAGCATGCCTTCACCAAACATGCTACAGTGGTACAGCTGCACCAGTACAGCTGCGCTGATGTAGCACTTTAGTGTAGATTTGCCCTCAATGAAGGAGGGGGAGAAAGAAGAGGCATCCAAGGACTTGTACCTCCTGGATTTTCTGTGCTTTTTTTCCTTTTTAGATTTCTTTGCTCTTTTTGCATGCTTTGCAGGAGTAGGCGCTCCCTGACACTTTGGTGATGCTTTTTGCAGTTTGCCTTTCATAGTGCCTGAAGCCCTCTGAAAAGTTCTCCCTCTGAGTCCTCCCATGCTGGGTCCCATTCCCCCAAGAGGGTGAGGGGGGTACTTGCTATTAGAGTCTTTCTGGTTGAACTGGGAAGGGGGAGCTGTTTAAGAGTCCTGCTTCTTTACCAAGGGTATTCAGGACCCACTTTAAGACACAGAGGGGTGAGAATTTGTGGTCCCACAAGCCTCCCCTCTTTGTTCTACAGGGATCCCCTGGGACTTGCTCCCCGAGTCAGCTGCCTGGAGTTCTCGTCATCTACAGAGACTTTCCCTGCTCTACTCTGTGCTTCCTGATCCATTTTTTTCACACTGGAATTGTGGCTGCTTTGGTGAGTAGGGGATCCCATATGCCTGTCCAACTCCTAGCCGCAAGAACTAACAGAGTTAGGGTCAGCTAGCTGGGTGCAGCCTGGGCACAGCCTATAGACTTCTGAACCCAGGAAGGCTACCTCACAAATAGAGCACTGCTTGGATTTGATCTGGTGCTTTCTTGGCCTCTCTGCCATGCCTGGATAGGGACAGAGGAGCCAGCAGGGAGATGCTGCAGCAGAGTCTCAGGGTGAATTAAACTTAAGCTTAAGACTGACCCAGGGAGGAGGAAAGAATCCTGAAATAGAATAGCTCACCAGGGCCTGAAAAAAGTGGAAAAAATAAAAGTAGAAATAAAAGGAGCAGGAACAGTGTAACTGTCAACTGACTGCTGCCACAGAGACAGAGAATCTGGTGGCAAGTGGGAACAAAGGCGGTGTAGCAGGGCATGTGGAACCAAGTCTTTGATATGCCTGCATGAGCTGCAGATTGGAGGGGAGAAGCCCAGATGTCCAGGATTGGGGAGATGCTGGGCTGAAGAAAAGGAGGCTTTTATATTGATGGGTGGTACTGGTGGTTTTATTATGCCTTGACTGGTCAACGGTACCAGTCAAAAGTGAACCAATGGTGTGAGGACATCTCAGGTCAGGACTGGATCCAACAGCATAGGCAGCATAGATAATAAGGTCCTTTTGGACAGTACACTCTCTAGCCCCTGATTCTGGAGAGTGGACTGGATTTCTGTCCCTTGGTGGTGCCAGAAGTACTGGCTTCATATGGACCATGGTCTTCGGTACTGATGACTCCTTTTTTCTTAACATTGGTACCTTGCCTGTCCTAGGATGGTCCCACCCCTTTGGCTAAGGATGGTTTTGGGGCACTTTTGCCTCTCTGTACTGCAAAATCAGTACTGCGCTCCTTGTGAGCGCATGACACTCTTGTAATGGTGTGTGGAGTCCACATGATTTGTTGAAGGGGAAGTCTTCTGTATGGATGAAGACTTAGAGAGGGGGATATCTCACATTTCTTTTAAGAGTGTGTCATATATTCCTCATACATAGTTGGTTGCAGGGCTGCTGCTAGCAGGTCAGGATTAAATATCAGATTTGGACTGGCTATAGAACTTCCATCATGGAAACAGATACAAAAGATGTGTTCTCTTTCAGATACTTTAACGCATTCCCAGGTATGGCTGTGGCCAGCTCAGATAAGGTGTAGATTATACACAGCGCTGCCTACTGGCTGTACATTATAATATACCTTTAGCATTCCATCACAGAGTGTTTGGTCTTACCTTCCTCATCTCTCTGCTTGGAAAGGTCTTTAGCCCTGCTCTCATTATCCTTGGAACCAGAGATCACTATGCTCAAAGGGGCATTTCCCAGTGCCTGTGAATGTACACGGAAGTCTAATGGGTCAGGATTGGACTGGGGCCCCATATTGTACAGTCCATCAGGAATCTTCTTCTAAGCATGTATTCATGCCGTGATTGTTGCTGACTGGGAAAGCCCAAAGGCAGGCCAGGCAGATCTTGAATACTGGGATCCTGGCATACTACAGTAGAACCTCCGAGTTAGGAAAACCTCGGGAATGGAGGTTGGTCATAACTCTAAAATATTTTTAACCGAACAAAACATGGTCGTTTTTTCAAAAGTTTACAAATGAACATTGACAATACAGCTTTGAAACTTTACTATGCAGAAGAAAAATGCTGCTTTCCCTTTATCTTTTTTAGTAGTTTACGTTTAACACACTACTGTACTGTATTGGTTTTTGGTTGTTTTTTTTTTTTTTGGTCTTGGCTGCTGCCTGATTCATACTTCCAGTTCCAAATGAGGTGTATGGTTGATTGGTCAGCTTGTAACTCTGAGGTACTACTGGTAGCATAATGTACAGGGGAAGTTTTTTGGGGGTGTCTAAAAACTACTCTCACTAGAAACTAGTTAAAAACAGGTTTTAAAACTATTTACAATTAACTACAGTTTTTGAACAGGAATGCTAGCTAATGCTGCAGCCACTAAATAAGTTTTTCTCAGATCAAGGGTGAGAGAAAGGAACTGAAGAAGCCATTAGCTCGCATGGTCTCTTATGCCCTTGGTTCAGAGCATGAAGAGAAGGGCTCAGGTGCAGACCAATGACACTGCCAGCAAAAAGGAATGGTGTTCCTAGCCTGTTTGTCAGAGGGTGGAGATGGATGGCAGGAGAGAGATCATTTGATCATTATCTGTTAGGTTCACTCCCTCTGGGGCACCTGGCATTGGCCACTGTCGGCAGACAGGATACTGGGCTGGATGGACCTTTGGTCTGACCCAGTATGGCTGTTCTTATGTTAAAAATCTTCTGGTCCGAGGCATGTGGAGCAAATGTGCACCTCAAGTGGAACACCCATAGGGACCTTCACTTGAAGAAGAATTAATTGTATTTTTTATCTTTTAATTACACTAGTTTCAAATAAACTGTTAACTAGCAAAGCAACTAGAGTGAACAGGTGAATCTAGTCCCATATCTTTAAAACACCAATGAAAAAAATATTATAAAAGCAAGCTTTAGAATCATATAATTGTATGACTAAAGCAGAGATGAGTCTCTGTCAAGGGGTTCCTTGGAATGTTTGACTTTCTGTATTTTTTCCAAATCATGAAAGTTGCCTATACTAGTCACATATTAAAGAGCAGCCCTAACATTAAGAAATCTAACTGCTTGTATTGAAAGGGGCAGAAAAAGCACCCAATATAGAGCCTCATTGCATTTCTGTTCCCTGTTTACCTCTCCGGAAATATGATGGCTGATACTCGGCTGCACTGACAATTACTATTTTTATATGAGAGGTGGGAACAGTGAACATGGTATTTCCCAGTGGCAAATGGGGAGTTTTATACCAGCTGTTTCTATTTTATTGTGTACCCAGATATATAATGGGAGCATTATATTAAATGAGCCTGAGATTCCTCCCACTGCATCAGTGATTGGATTTCTCAGTGTAAGAGACATAAGGAGAATTATTATATGTACTATAGTGGCACCTACAGGCCCCAACCACCATCAGAACTGCTTATGCTAGGCACTATAAAAACAGCACTTGTTCTGAAGACCTTACAATCTAAACAGACAAGGAGTGGATGGGAACGGATAGGACATAAAATCATCACTGGAACTGAGGCACAGGAGCCTAAGTGACTTGCCAGAGTCACTTAGCACAGGATTCAGAGTAACAGCCGTGTTAGTCTGTATTTGCAAAAACAAAAGGAGTACTTGTGGCACCTTAGAGACTAACCAATTTATTTGAGCATAAGCTTTTGTGAGCTACAGATCACTTCATCGGATGCATAAAGTGGAAAATGCAGTGAGGATGTTTTATACACATAGACCATGAAAAAATGGGTGTTTATCACTTCAAAAGGTTTTCTCTCCCCCCACCCCACTCTCCTGCTGGTAATAGCTTATCTAAAGTGATCACTTTCCTTACAATGTGTATGATAATCAAGGTGGGCCATTTCCAGCACAAATCCAGGGTTTAACAAAAACGTCTGAGGAACAGTGGGGGGGGGGGGGGGGCGGTAGGAAAAAACAAGGGGAAATAGGTTACCTTGCATAATGACTTAACTACTCCCAGTCTCTATTCAAGCCTAAGTTAATTGTATCATACAACCCCAATTATAAGGGAAGCTCCTACCCTTTGAAAATACTGGACCTTACCTGTAGTTTTTCCAGATTTTGGAGGTCCCACAATTGCTATCTTAACTGGCACAGGTGGCTTGGGTTTTGGCTGACGGATAAATTTAATGGGATTTTTCATAAATTTTTCTTTATTTTCTTTACTTGAAAAGAAATAAATATATTGTCGGTGGATTACAGGCAAGCTTGGAGTCAGTTGATTTTGGAAAGGCATGATTACATCTCCTTCACTTAGCTGTAACATATACAAAAGCGGAAAAAGTTACTTACTGATATTTCTGTTTCTTTTCATCTCCTCTTCACCCATCCTACAACAGTGGATTTATGGACACAGTGTTATGGAAATTCCTACTGGAAGGAAGCAACGATTTCTGAAACCTTACCCCTGATTACATAAGCCTCAGACAGAATACCATTTCTGAGCGAGAGAAACTTCCAGGAGCAGAAAGGAGGATAGGGTATACAAGACAGTAAGAGAAATAATATACAAGCAGTGGCATACCATCTAAAGGGGAGGAGGGAGGCATGTAGGATGGGAAAAGAGGACTCTGTGACTGACACAATTATCAGTAAGTAATTCTCCTTTGTCATACATCTTTTTCCTCTCCCATCTTATGACAGTGGATTCACAGACAGGCTATGGATGTAGCAAGCAGTATCCCGAGGAGGTCCAACCTTACCATATTACTAGTAAGACCTTGAGCCCAAAGGAGGTATCCTAAGAAGCAACTGTTCCAGCTGATGATAATACATAAAGGAGCACGAATATAACCATATTGCTACTTCACATACCTTGGAATTGAATGCTTCTTTGCACTTACTTCGCGAGGGGCTCACTTGCTGCAGATTAAGCCCATTGTGAAACTCTGCTCCTTATTCAGAGTTTGAGGGCAGATTGGACTCACTGCATCCATTAAGTGGGCTGATGTTGTCTACGCCCCAATCAGAAGTGCTCATCTTTTATTCAGAAGGTTGGCCAAGAACAAACACACTGAAGGAGGGTGATATGTGTGAGCCAATATCATATTTCCAGAATACTTTGTATTTAGGCTAAGTTATATAAATACAAACTGTACTCCTGGAATGCCTTTTTCTCTCCCCATGCATACATGTGGGTCAATTATGCCTGTTCCCAGCTACCACAATAAATCCAGTATCCAAAGTGAGCCAGATCACCAGCATGAGGTTGGGAAATAAATATCAGGTTTTTAATGTACACAGTGATCCACTAACCTTAAATTTAAAAACATTATTGGTTCAAAAAGACACACCCATAATTCAGAGTAGGGGTGACATACACTAAATAGAAAAGGTTCTAGATCTACTACAGGATGGTAGCTTGGACATATTAATTTCTAATATACAGACAAAGATTACTTTAAGGCTTAAATTGTTTTTTCTAATGTTTTTGATTTTGTTGATATTTTTGTATTTTTGCTCACAAGCTGTGGTAAAATAATATCCCATATGAACGCTGCTCTGCTTCATACATGCATTTATCAAAGGTGTTCTCCCGATGCTCTGAATCAAGGTGACAAAGGGGTAGGAGGACTGTTAGCCAATATTATATATTCCCAGAATGCTTTGTATTTAGGCTAAGTTGTATAACTATAAACTATACTCCCTAAATGCCTTGTATTTATGCTAAGCTTTATTGTAGAAATCTACTAGCAGTTATACTGTTGTAACTTCTGTTTTTGTAGAATCTGTCAGATGGAAGAAATACGTTTTTGCTGAGGTTTGTCAGATATGAACTGTATGCTAGGTAGAGTAGTGTAAATGTCTCTACAATCTACTGACATCTGGAACGTTATGCACAAACCCCAGATAAGAAACAATGTGTAAAATCTGTGGATTTTTTTATCTGTCATAAACAAAGGGAATATAAATATGAGCAAAATTAAGTTCAGAATTTGGAACAGAGAAACAATGTAACTGATGCAAGACTGTTCTCGAGATTGATACTGTATTAACCTTTCTGTATTGTGCTGAGATCAATCTTTGATTAATAAATTGATTGAGCCTGGTTATCAGACATTTTATCAATAAATATTTATCAATATTTGTCCTAGGGTTAGGCAGTCATGGGAGCATTTCTGAATTCATTGCCTCCTTAGTCCCATATGGGGCGGGGTACCATAACACTATCTATCCATGGAACCACTGTTGTCGGATGGGATAAGAGAGAATTCTATACCCAATTTAATGTCCAGAGCATTACTCTATTTCTGGTCAGAACAAAGAAAAGAATAATTAATTCTCTGAATTAAAAACAAGTGCTGTTCTGTGGACTGACTGACAGAGGGTATGCTGCTCAGTAATACTTAGGCCCCATGCCACTGTATTCCTGAGCTATGCATCTGAAGAGGATAATATTGAAACACCACTCTTTGGTGGCTCCAGACTGCCATACTACACATTCTACCCTTCTCAGATTCTTGGTTTCTCATTAGTGTATCAGGTCCCTTCAAACCACATGCCTTAGCTCCATAGGAAACTAGGATTCTGCCTTAATTCACTTCCAGTGCTCACATTCCTCCTTCTGGTTTGTTATTCTTATCCATTATCTCCTCCATAGTCTTGTCTTATCTTCAAACATAATTATTTAATCGCCAATTGGCATATCTTATACCTTCTGATCTATGAAGACTTTGGCTTCCTTAATTGTACTCATCTCTATCTGATCCTAAAGCACTCCTATTTTCTCCTCCATAATTGTCATCATCTTCTACTTCATGCATCCTACAGCATTGACAAAACACCATCTTGATTCCATCTAAAGACAGTCTAGTACCTGCTTCTTTCTGCTAACAGAATTTTTTAACCTGTGTCAAGTGTTAAATTGTTCTCTTCCTGACATGCTTTCTCTTAGATTTACTTTTGGCAACTCAGATATGTAAGAATCTCTTCTCACTTGCAAAGCTGTCACTCCTCCAACTGTATCTTTCTACTCTCCCGTCTTCAGGAATTTCTTTGTTATTGTTGTTTCCTGTTCATTGGGCTTTTCTTAGCTTAGCTCTGCTCCTCGTTTTTTACTCACTCACAAAACCAAGATGCACATCTAGCATTCCAGCAAAATTACATCCAGATTACCCATCATAACTTTGTGTTAATCACCCATAACTCCAAAACTCTTTCACTTGTCTCTACTGCTCCTGCAAGGCTGTAGGAACTTCCTGTTTGCTATCCTATATTTGCTGGGTCCTAAGTATCATACATTTCTTTCTTGCTCAGCTCCACCTTTGATTGTACTAGTTCACAAACCTCCATCTGCTCAATGCTCCCACAAATCTTACAAAATATCATTAATCAGTGCTTAAAACACAACACTAAACTGACCAATTCTTGTTATTAATAGTATGTGCTCATTATTGAAAATATTCAGTGATGTGCTTTTCATAATATTTTATCTTAATTATATGGGCATAAAGAAGACAAGCAAGTATTACTTCCTGAAATTATACCTCAGCCATTTAATTACATTACCTTGATTGGGTCCCATTGACCAAAAGAACTGGGATGTTTATAAGAGAGAACCAACATCTTGCGTGCAAGTGGCAAACTTATTGGGTAACATTTCTCAAAAATGCTTTCTCGATTTTCTACTAGATGCTTCAACTTGCTATACAATTGGTAACGTACAATGTGAGGTTTTCGCCCTCCATTGATGGTGATTTGTGATATCAGCAACCTTTCAAGTTCTTCCTGAATAATGAAAGAATAATGTATGACAAAAATCATAAACATGATCAAATGTTGTAATAAAGGGTGATATGAATAATAACTGCCATTAACTATTAGTGATCTTTGGACTAAATCCTCTGCTTGTGTAAATCAATGTACCTCCATTGACTTCAGCTGAAGATCTGACTCCTCTGTTTTCATTATTAACATTTGTATTACAGTATTACAATATGTTAAAATAAAATCAGAAAACTATAATTTCCATTAACTTTGAAGACTCTAACTCTATTTAGCTAAACTTTTAAAAAGTCTCTTATCAAAATCAGAGAAATGTCATTTTTTTTCTATTTTACCTGACCCCCATTGCTTATTTAACTATTATCTATGCATAAAAAATTGTTCCCCAGTCCCTCCTGGTCCATTTTGGTAACTTGTGGCCACTGGTGAGCTGGAGCTTGTTCGCACAAACCGGTTGTTAAATTTAGAAGCAGCTTTAGAACTGGTTGTTAGGACTCCCTGAGCTCCCGGCTTCGGAGGCTCCCCCGGCCACTCCCCCGCTCACGGAGCCGCAGCGTGCTGCGCCGCCAGCACTCTGGACCGCCCCAGGCAGCTCTGCAGCTCCTGCCACTTTGAGCAGCATGGTAAGGGGGCTGGGCGGAGGGGTTGGATAAGGTGCAGGGAGCTGTTGGAGGGGGCAGAGGTTCTGGGAGGCGGTCAGGGGACGGGGAACGGGGGTGGGCAGTTGGGTAGGCAGTCACCGCCCCAGAAAGTCCCACCCAGGCTGGGGCTCGGCTGGGGCAGACCCCCTGGCCAAGGGGGTCCCGACTCGCAGCACTAGGGATGGTGCATGGTGTAGGGCTCTGGGAGGGGTCTACCTCTCAATGCGCTATGTTCCCCTTCTTCTCCCATCTCCATGCACCCAGAAAGGTTAGCTGGCCAGTGCCTGGGGAATGGGCTATGAACCTGCTTTCTCTCTGTCCCCTTTGGAGTATTTTGGGCCCAGAGGAAGCAACGCAGAGGCCGATACGATGCCGCCTTGCTCAGGAGCCGCTGCCAAGCTCCATGCTGCTTCCTGCCTGGCCCAGGAAGCGCAACCGGCTGCGCTGGGCAGGGAGATCAGGCACCGTGTGACTGGGTGTCGCATAGGGCTGGGGAACCAGACCCCTGGTGGCAGCAGCCTCCTCTGACCCAGGAGCAGGGCAGGGCCGGCTGGTGCCATGGCTGGGGGCTGCCTTGGGCATGCTGGGGCGACCCCAGTCTCTCCTGCTCCTGCACTGTGGGGCTGTCCGGCCTCTGCCGCTCGGGGGTGCTCACATCCTGCGGTGGGGAGTTGGGCAGACGGCAGCCTTTGCCTGCAGGGAGCCGCCGCCCCACATGCCGCGAACGACCCCACTGATGCAAGGGCTGCAGGACTCCTGCGCCACCCGCAGGCACCTGGGATGGAGAACGGGCCTGGGAGGGAGAGGCGGGAGGGGGCAGGACAGAGCCTGGGGGAATGGGGGGCAGGAGAGAGCCTGGGGGACAGGATGGAGCCTGGGGGTGGGAGGGGGCAGAACAGAGACACATCCCTTAAATCAGCATTGTTTATAGGGAACCGGTTGTTAAGATTCTGGCAGCTCATCACTGCTTGCAGCAGGTCAGTTTCTGTTCTTGATTGACTTGATATAGTGGAGTCAGGTTCGGTGGATTGTTTATTGACACTATGAACATGTTCTTATCTACACTATACATGAATCCTGTCAGTTTTACACAGGGAACTCCAGAACCCTAACCTGAGCTGCCCACTGTCCTCCCAAATAACAGGGGACCTGCTCCTCCTGGCTGCCCAATTACATTCCAGTGAGGAGTCAAGAGAGCCTCAGCAGATTCATTGCACCGTCCTCTGCTCACATATTACAACTCAGCCACTTAATTACAATATAAAAATTGTCTGTTTTCTAATTAATCTCTTCCATCTGTCTGATCCTTTTAGGGAGGCTGCTATCCAGTGTTTTGATATCAAAATTTACTATTGCATAATTGACTGAGATGCCACAATACCTAGTGGTGGCAATAATGAATGAAGAAGATAGGAAGAATAAATTATTTATTAATAAATAAACCTGCTGTTTAAACAAAATTTCTTGGGTATCAGTAATAATGGGAAAATAAATTCTGAATAAGTTAAAATGAGAGTTAGATACAGTAAGAGGAAAATATTAACCTGTAATTGTGGCTCTTAAATTTACTATTTATGTAGATCTATATTCTGGAGTCTTTGCTTCAACCCATCATAGGCAGGGTGCTATGCAGCACAAAATACTAAAACAGAAACCATCTCTCCAGTAACTGATGCGTATGCACCTCTTGAGACAATAATTACCAACATTCTCATCTACTTGTTCCTTTTTGACCAACTTAGTCACCAAGATACTAATAAAACAAATAATGTACTCCTAAACTTCAGTGGTGAGAATGGAAGAGGAATGTGGATCTGTAAAAATACTACCTTCAAAAAACATGCAGTATTCCATTAGTTACACCTGGACCCTTTAATGTACTTGAAGGAGTCTAAACAAGTCACTGCATAAAAGGCATTAAAAGGTTCAATTTTGATTGTCTCTCTCTGATTTGGTATCATATTTTTTTACGAGAATAATGTTTTTTTAACTGTCATCCTGCAAAGTTATCTTACACTCAGAAAGGGGGCAGAGTTGCAATCAACCCCATAACCATGACAAAGAGTAACAGCAATAGAAAATTATGTTTGTCCTTAAAGCAAGGAGACATGACTAGGGTTACACTGCAGGAAGCAGTTCAGCGGAGTAAGAAAATGACATTTTTACATAGCCACTTTTCAGTTTCGAACTTCACTTTAAAGTTAGTCTCCCCACAAATTAATGGAAGTGTGTATCTCTGGGTGTAAAACAATGGCCTTTCTCCCCAACTCAATCCTCCCTGAAATGCAAGGAGTGTTAGGAGATTATTCAGACTCCTAATCCATTAATTGGTAAAAAAGTAATTGAAGCCTGAGGATGTCAACATAGTTACAGTGGCAGTAGGTGTCACTTAATGGTAAATCTTAGAATTAGAATTTTGTGCTAGGAAGCACTCAACTTTGTAATGGGCAAAAGACCCGATCTGGGAATAAGAATATATTTAAATACTAATATTTGTAGAAAATAAATTGTTTTTTGAAAATTTAATTTATGTCAGGGGCTGTTTCAGTCATTGATGAATAAAATATGAAATCCAGTTGAAACTATTCTGCAGATTTTAAAAGAGCTGTGACAGACAGCCAGAAAGGGTTACACAACTAGCAGGCTAATTGACCCAGATTGAACATTTAGAGACATAGCTGTAGATAATGATTGCATTTTGTATGTGTTTAC